CAGTGAAAAGGAATAAACCTCCACAAATTTGTGACGCGTTTTCTAAAAGTTTAAACTGTTTTGACTTTACATGGCTACATCTCTTGTGTGAGACGCGAGTGCAGCAGTCATATTTGTGTATATATATAATATGCGTTCTGTGTGAATGGCTTGGTTTCGGTTTTAACCTAATCAAGATCTTCTCCGCATTTAGCTTCTATATTTCTCTAATATTTTGAATGAATAACGCAGCAACTGCGCGTCTCGTGGACTAGACCAGTGGTTCCCAACCCTGGTCCTGGAGGCACCCCAACACTGCACGTTTTGCATGTCTCCTTAATCAAACACACCTGATTCAGGTCATCAGCTGATTAGTAGAGACTCCAAGACCTGAAATTGGTGCGTCAGAGAAAGGAGACATGCAAAATGTGCAGTGATGGGGTGCCTCCAGGACCAGGGTTGGGAACCACTGGGCTAGACTAACAAAACATTCAAATGCAACAACGTCACTTACATCATTATCACCGCATCTCGCGCGCCACTGATGACGCTCCCTGACGCACTCCTAACATTTAAATGCAAATGTTTATTTTAAAATTAGACTAATATTCATTCTTTATTCACAATCTCCTCATCACAGGCAGGCACAGCACTCATTTCAGCATGTGTTCGTGTTTGTGTGTGCGGTCTGCGTCACTCATAGCACGTGCCTATATCATGCGCTATATCGAACATTTTTTTTATCGTTATCGAAGAAGGTGTACCGTCGATAAATATCGATACTGTTTTATCACCCAGGCCTAGCATTTTACCACACAAGCAGGTTACCATACAAACTCCAAAATCGACCTGTCCAGTGGAAAGTCCAACGAACAGCGCCAAAGAAAATATGGATGAAACAGGTTGACGAGGATTTGAGAAAACAATGTCTCAACCTCGATGAGGCCAGGTCCATGGCCATGAAACCCCATGGATGGAAACGTCTTGTACATGAAATCCGGCAACCATTAGCACCCACAGCAGCGTATGGTTTGAGGAAACGATCCAAACCAAGCGCCAGCTAGAGATCAAAGAAGAAGACAACAGGGGTGCTATTGATCTAGTGCGTCATTGTTGCCGCTGTGGTCGCGCTTTGCGTTTGAAGTGTTGAAAAGATGGCACGAGATAAAGCTGTTTTTGATGTAACTTTTCAAACATGAATATAAGATAAGATATATGCTGCATTCACGCCATGTCGTAATTAATGTAATTTCGAGATGACAACACGTGACGTTCAACTTGGAGCTGTTCACACCCTTAGACTCTGAAATATCGCACTATCAATGTCTAAACACAGCGCCTAATGAATCTGAGGTGCTCAGGTGGTACAAGCTGTAGCTCTCAGAAAACTCCTAGTTCATAAGTTGTAATTACGACTTCTACGAGGACATGACATTTTAAAAAAAAAGTTGGTATCTCGTAATCACGGTAATTACGATATGGCGTGAACGCACCTTAAGTCATTTAATGAACTGGAACAGCCAACTGATAGCAGTTTTCTTCTTGCAGATTCCTATTGGCTGCTCTTGTCACATCCTAAACCCTTTACTGAATGTTTTTGAAAGTTTTATGATTGTAAAAAACTGACTTGATATTGAATGGGGAAAAAAAATTATATGAACTGTTTTTGTCCTATATATAAAACAGGTATTAGAATGCATTTTTATTATTAAAATGAAAAACCTTCAATAGGTTGACTGACCCAGCACAATGTCAAAAAGCAACCCAGCAAATGGGTTACTGTATAAAACCCAACAAGCTGGGTTAAAATAACCCAGCATGTGTTCTGTCCAATATTTACCCAGCACTGGGTTGCCAAATAACCCAGAAATGGTTGTTTTAACCCAGCATTTTTGTATACACTCTACAAAATGCTGGGTTAAATACAACCCAAAGCTGGGTAAAATATGGATAAAACCAACGATTGGGTTGTTTTGACCCAGCGGTTGGGTTACTGCCCAGAAGGTTGGGTTAAACATTTAACCCAACTGTTGGTTGAAAACAACCCAATCGCTGGTCCATATTTTACCCAACGCCGAGTTGTATTTAACCCAGCATTTTTAGAGTGTAAAGGGGTTTTGGATTTCTCTTTTTATCACTAAATAAATCAGAAAATACTGTCAACAGGCAGAAATAAAATTCACCATGTTTTAGGAATAAAATCAGTGCAAATGATATATAAACAAACCCCTCAGAAAAAACCCTTCAAATTATGAGTGCTGCTGAAGCGGAGATAAAAACTTCACTTGAATATATGTATTAAAACTAAAATCTACAGACCCAAATAGATAAAGTGCAATAAAATAAACACTTAAAAGTTTATTTTGAATGTTTTTGTTCCACTAGTCTATGACCTCATTACATGCAAATTCGGACTTATATTGTGGTCTCTAAACTTTACTGGATTAAGATAAAGTTTAGCATTGTGAGACATTTTCTTCATTTAAGCTTTAAAAATGCTCTTTGTTCCCCCACATTTCTTTCCTCAGTTTTCTGATGCGCTTTCCACCAGAGCAGCCGCTTCCCGATCGACGTGTGAACGAAGCGGTTTCCAGCGGTCTCATTTTCCCCGTTAATGTCCTCTTCCTCACTCTCCTGCCGGAGAAAAATCAATAAACACACAAACATATTCAGTGAGTAGCGTGAATGAAATTAAAACATGTATCGTGGAGCAGCTTACGAATGAAAACTCTGAAGATGATAAACACGCTTAATGGAGTCATGAGATGAAAACAACAACAATGAACTAATCATTTCATCGGATGAAGGCGTAACAGCGTTTATGATTCATCATCGATCTCTCTGTGAAGTCACGTCACCGGTTATTCTCATCACTTAGATTAACGCCAACAACAAAATCGTGAAATCATGCTGTGATCAAACCTAGAGGCATGTGAATCAATAAGCTCATACATGTGAGTTATTGACCGCTCTATAAAGCTGTGAAGCGCATGACAGCATGTGGACAGATGGGGAAAGGTGACAGAGATCAGACCAACATTGTACATTGCTATGTGCCTATCATATACATCTTCATATCAGTGTTATTTAAGTATCATTCATATACTATTATATATCCATGATTTCTTTGTTAATATTAATATTTAGTTTTCACTTTAATTTAAGTGTAAGTTTTTAGAAATTTTCTTGTGAGTTATTGTCCTTTTTAGTTTTTTAAAAGTCTACATAGTTTATACATTTTTATTTTAAAAACGGTTTATTTAACAAACTGTAAAAAACATTTTTCATATTTTATTTTATTTACATTTTATATAAAGTTAACATTTATTTTTATCTAAAGTAACAAAAATCATTTTAGTTTTAGTTTAATAATAGTTTAAGTAAAGCATATTATAGACACAGTTGACTAATATTAATTAAGGAATATTAACATTTATTTATTAAGAAATATTGCATTTTTCTTTATTTTAATCAAAATTGATCTTGCTTTAACTAAAAATGCTTTTTTTAGACTAAATGTTAATTGGTCAATAAATCATTATATATGTTTGTCCCTCTGTCCTCAATATTTTGTTTGCCTTTTGTAAAAATCCCTAAATTAATTTCTTTGTGTTAAAATGCATGAAAAATGCATTAAATTGAGACAAGCTTGACATCAATGATAAAAAAACTGTGTTTTTGTGTAAAATACAGAAAAATAACTTGTTTTCAAAGTAAATTTATTTTTAAACCATTTTTTCTCCACTTTAATTTTTTGTATCCATTCATCAAATTTAGTGAAGTTTATGCTTAAAAACAAGAAAAATCTTTTTGCCATTGGAATTAATTTAAAATATATTGCTTAGTGGATATTAGGATATTTTCAACTGGAAAATCTCATTAAAATAATATTTTTTTGGCAGCGTGTACATTCAAATAATACTTAAAATACACCATAAAATATACTTTTTCCACTTCAAGTGGCATTAGGCTCACCATGATCATGGGATCTTGCAGCCACAGACGGATCAAGGTGGCCAGTGTGTAGTACAGGACCAAGAGCATGATGGGATTGACAAAATGGTGCCAGTTCAGACCACTGTTGACAGCAAGCTTCCAGGTTGAGGAACAGTCGGTTCGAACGATGGAGGAGATGCCAAACAAACTGTGGAGAAAAAGTAAACCGGGTCATTTTGCTTTAATGATATCATTTTTATCCTGCTTCTTACTCTAGCTGTGACTGGGACAGAAATGATCACATGACCACAGCCCATGTTGAGGGAAAAACAGGAAGTGATGCGGAAAGCACTGGCTGTCAACACTGCTACTCAACAGTCATGCAGATCAAGGCGACGAGTCTTTCATCAACTACAATTAGGCCACAGACTTTTCCAACCAGATCACCATTAACTACACAACAACGGCTGTTCCTACTGTTCACGCCAAAACTGCTTTCACAAAGAAAAACTGATAACGACCAGCACAAAAGAGTGGGTTTATGGTCTACTTCTATCTATGAATTCAAGAGAAGGAAGTAAACAAATTGATACAATGTAAAAAAACAAAAAACATTATCAGTATTTAAATATTTTTGTATCAGGATAAGACACATTAAATCAAGAATGTATGAATGAATGAATGAATGATGCATTTATTTGGGAAAGAAAAAGACTTAAGAACCAAATTAAGTGAGTTTTAGCTTAAAAAAAGAAAAAATATCTGCCAGTGGGGTCAGAAAAATCTACTTAATTTAAAGGGAAAACAAGATTATTTTTCTTACCCCATTGTCAGATATTTTTTCTTATTTCAGACAAGTCCATTAATTTTGATAAACCTATAAAAAAAAAGCCTTAATATCTTTTAATATCTGCTTCTCAAATTTAAAAATGTAGATAACTGTACTGGAAAACAAGACAAAGATACTGAGGAAGAACAGCACTTTTTGCAGTGTATATGTAAGTGTTAACAGGGTGTTTGCGTTTAATGAGTTTATCTGACCACAATGCACTTCTAACTTGAGTTTCAGTCGACTTAATTAACCTTGAGATCACAACCGCAAACACAATGAAGTGCAAACCTTAAAAGCAGCTTTAAACATTGAATTGATTTGAAATCACCAAGAGAAATACATTAGAAACACACCAGACCTTCTCTCTGCTGTAAAAAAGTCAGTAAATTATGATTAATAATGATGTAATATAATAAGTAGTGCTGTCAAATGATTAATCACATCCAAAATAAAAGTTTTTGTTTACATAATATATGTGTGTACTTTTACTTGTACTATTATGTATATATAAATACACACACATGCATGTATATATTTAAGAAACATATGTGATGTTTATATATTAAATCTATTTATATATTATATAATTTATATGAATATAAATATATACATGT